CTTATGGCAACCCTTTCCACGGTGTTGCAGGTAAAGAATACTCAGAAGTGGTTTACCATTTCTGGGACTATATAACTTGCCCATGATTACACAGGCTTGCTCCACGCTAAATACAGTAACAAATACTCAAATGCATCAGAGATAATTTTGCAGCACCAAGGTATATGGAGTAGCACGAATATTTCAGGACTTTAATTGCTAGCAGTGGGGTGCACGTTTTATGCAAAATAGTGATGGTTTGTAATGTTTAAGGTACTTGCTCAGAGAGGTTCTACGGTTATTTAGGTCTTGTTCCTATGAGTAACCAGTTTCTGGAAGTAGAGAAAACAGTGTTATGAGGCAGTGCCAAAGAGATGTTTCAGATGTGTGCTGGTACAGAAGCAACTGTGAACATTAACAAACATTTCATTAGCGCAAGTTTTCTTTATTATGTCCTTTTAAACATCTCACCAGGTATTTTAAACAAGTTTGTGGTCATGACCATTTTCACAACAAAGACTTAACTCCAGTATCTTTCATGAGTGCGAAACTAGCCTTTTCCAATCTTTTTTTTTCCTTTTAAAACTTTTTTTTAAATAAAGCAAATTTTACAGTTCAAAATTGCAAGTTCAGAAATGGAAAAGTAACCATTGCCTTCCCTCCTTCCCTCCCCTCCCGGCCCCATCCCACCCTGTGCAACTAAAACCCACCTTCTGTCCTCTCTCCAGCCCGGCCCTGTTCAGTCAGAGTCTGCCATTCATTCCAGCCCCCAACTCTTTCCTGTCAATCCCTTCTAAATTTATCCTACCACATCCCCTAACCCTCTATCCATAAGCATAACTGAGCATATGAAGGCAAATATAAGACTAGTAAGACATTATATACATCATCTGTACCACAAGACTATGTTCCTAAGGCATGCTGTCCTAAACTGGATGAAGTTGGAAAGTGGTCTGATAATCCATCTTTTTGTGGAAGATTTATGGAAATTCACTCCTCCCTTCGCTGTCTTCATCATTTGCTTCCATCACAAAACTGTTCTCGGAGCCTTTTCGGAAGGCCATGGTTTACGTTCTCACGCATCGTGTGGAATATGTTGTTCGCATTGCACTTTGCAGTTTGGTATTGAGACATGTAGTAGATAGAAGCAAGACGCTGTGGCTGCTGCTCTCAGTAGCAGAGAGGCGGTGGAAGTCAGAGTGCTCTGGAAACAGTAGTTGGTAACGCACCACAAGGCAGCGAGGGAGCTAATTTTCTTGAATCACGTAGGACATCTAAACTCTTCTGTGAATAGAAAAGTTCCCATCAAAGGAAACTGTCTCTTTTGTACATCAGCCTGTGATAGCAGGGAGTGTCCACAGGTCCTGAATGCTCTGGCCGACAACAAAAAAAAAGGGAAAGAGAGGCTGCTTCCACAAAAGGCATTGAGTGTGAAATGGCCATGCTTGGCTCACTCACATTTTATGAGGGTTTCCTCTTAACAGTCATCAATTTAGTTAACATCCTGTGTTTCACCAGTGCTGCTTCTTACCACATCAACTCTGATTGGAGGGAACAATAGCACAGTCTTCGGGTACAGAGATCCAAAACATTACTCCTTTTAAATATACTTTTTAAAAAACAGGGGCTGTGACACATCGAACCGATGAACCTACCTACTGCTGCTGAGCATGGGACTGCTGTTGCACCCAGCATCAGCTGTACTGATCTAAGTAGTGCCAAAGTGCTGCTTCAACTATGTTTTTTAAAATATTAGCAAAATACTACTTCAATAAAAGACGTTTATAGCCCTGCAACACTATTAATTTGATCGCCACCATTTTAGCAGCATCTTTTTCTTAATTAAGCATTTCCAGTCTATACTGCTAATCCAGACCTACCAAAATTAAAATATCAGATAAAGCTGCTGAAATAATGTGACAGCACTGTAACACTGATTTAAGGATAATGAAAACACCTTCCAGTCACCATTTTAGCAGTATGTCCCTCCTCCCATTAAACTGTTCCAGTCTGATTATTTCTGATTCAAAACAAATGATCCATTTCAAAATAATGATTCATGGTTATAATGGGCAACCATGCTTAGATGAATAGGCGCACAGCACTAGATTTTTCTTTAAAAAGGTCACATGTTCCCACGCACCCACCCATCCACTCACCAATCCTTGGGGGAGCTAGACGTTGCCCACCCATGGTAGTAGCTATACTATGCCTACTGGTTGCCTGGAATAAAATGTACTGAACACAAGGGATAAGTGCTATGTCCTGATTAGTCAGTGTGGGAAGTCAACTGCAGTTCTGTTAGGTTTCAGCAAAAGAACAATGGCTTCATAGCATCAGGAGATACTCATCTGTAAGCAGCCTGAGATTCTGAATCTAGATCTAAATAATGTTTCTACTAAGGGCAGTTCCTGGATTCAGCATAAAAAGTCAAAGCCATGTCACCTGAAGAGGCCAGAAGGGTCTGAACTACAGGCACCCCAAGTGCTGAAGGACTCCAACTAGGAACGGCTAATCTACCGTTATAGAAATATCACATGGCCCCACCTGCTTCAGACTCTACAATTCTAAAATGCTGGTGGAGGGCCCTCAGATTCAACAACAAAAATAATAAATCTGTTAACATCTGTCACAGCTGCTCTAGTGTCTTACTCCATTTAGCTGGGCCCACAAAACTTTCCCATTCAATTTGTGACAAACTGTATCTGAACCATATAACATTATTTATTTACTTCCTGTCTGTGGGCCCCAGCTTCTTTGCATGTAAAACAGGGTTAACCTTACAGACCTCTTGTGATTTCAGCTACAGAATGAACCTTCTATAGTTCTGTAACTACAGTCTACCAGCCTTCATAATCCCACTGCTCTGAAATACATAAGAGCATGCACTCATGTGAGATGTTGGCAACTGCAGTCAAAAACTCAAGGCACTGTTCCTGATCTGACATTATTTTCTGCCCTCACAATTGTCCTCCAGTCATTCGTTTCCTCCCACAAGCCTCAACATGCTTGTAGCTGGCTAAACAGCACCATTCAAGGAACTGCTTAATCTACCGCGGCTGCCGGTATTTAATTGGGGGGGGGAGCATTTCCTCTGTGCGTGTGCGTGCACCCACATGTGATATATTTTTCTCAGGGTAAATGGAAGAAGTGGCTTCCTTCTGAGGAGTCTTATGAGCAATGTACCTGAGTGTGGAATCACATGCAGTTGTCTACAGGTAGGGTTGTGTATGTGAGAGTTGTTGGCAAAGAAAAATAAATGTGAATTGAATTTAACCAGTCCGAGCTAGCAAAACTATCGAAAGGATGGTTGGACATAAAACAAATGGTTATATTTAAATGGATTTCTAGAGAAAACAGAGAGCTTTAAACTGAGGAAAGGGTAGCAATTCCTAGACTTCGTTACAGAGAAGGTATGACAAAATGAGGTGAGTGATTTACAGCATCCCAAGACAGTGTACCCTGTTTACAAACAGATTTAAAGCATGGTAGAAACCCTATTAGAACTCCCCTTTCCAAAAACATTCTATTTACAACAGAAATTAAGATCAATTACATATGAAATAAGCCTCTTTTCTGCCCTTTTTGTGCCAGAAAACCTTGGTTGCTGTTTCCCACATAAGATGCCTCATGAATTTGGACTCTTTCCTTCTGCCTTTAGCTTAAGGCTAATATCTTACATGACTAACCTAAAAAAAATTCTGGGCTTTGTACCAAGTAGGTCAACTGCATTGTAATTATAATGGAGCACACGAATAAAAAGCCCTCCCCAACATCACAAATAAATTTTTAAAAAGAAACATGTTGGGCCCAAAGCATGTTGCAAAGGTAGGTAGATGGTGTCATGTTCCTACTGCATGCTGGGAAGGTGGAGCCCAAGGCTGCTCCCTTCAGGCACATGGCACCCAATACTTTTATCCTGTTTTCTCTGCTAACAGGGGAAAGGATGGCTTGATGGGATGTGGTTGAGGTTGTATGCAGCACTAGCCTGCACGTGGGTGGGCTTGGGTGAGGTGGAAGCATGAGAGTGAAACAGGCGGATGCACGCAAGAGGCAGTGAAAAAGAAAAGAGCATGAGAAAGAGGATTTGTGATAAAGAACAATAGGAAAGTGTAGCGATAGGGCTGTTTTGTTGCATTGCCAGAGGAGCTTTAACCAGAGGCATTTAGGTACAGTTGGCTCTTGAGGATGTAATCGATGACTGGCTGACTCAGATAATCCACAACGTGCCCATCACCGTGCTGGAGAGCCAGCCTGTGCAGGAGAAAGAGAAGCAGGAAGAGAGGGAAAGAGTTAATTCATGCTAGAGCTGGCCAGCTGCAAGAGCCATCCCATCTGTTTGATGGGTGCAAAACTGGACTGCCGTTGCTTTCAGCAGGGTAGAGAGCCTTCAACTCTCCAGATGTTTTTGACTATAACTCCCGCAATTCCTTTTCATTGCCCACCCTGAGCAGAGCTGATGAGAGTTGTAGACCAAAACATCTGGTGGGCCAAAGGTTTCTTACCCCTATTTTACATAAAGATTTCACTTCTTTTCCTAACACAGGTAATAACCAGTCTCTGCAATTAGCAATTCCTATGATAAAATTGCAAGACATGCAACACCTTCACCAAGCCATCTTAAATGGTACAGCCCTGGAACAGTTTGCCACATGATGTACTGTTTGTGTAGGGCAGCCCCAGCACTCCTGGGTTCTTCAGTCCATAAGGAAGTAAGCAAGGAAAAGCAGGGAAATTAAAGTGTTCATTAGAATTCTAATATGAGAATCTTATGCCAGTCTTTTTTTGATAGGTTTGTAGAATGACACTGCAGATCCCCAATTCAGTTCAGCAGTCAAATTATGCAGCTAATCAGCAGCATATATCGATTTTTTCTGTGTATAAGATGAGACCTTTTACTTAAATACAGTAGTGCCTCGCAAGACGAGCACTTTTAAACTAATCAGCAGCATATATCAAATTTTTCTGTGTATAAGACGAGACCTTTTACTTGAATACAGTAGTGCCTCGCAAGACGAGCTCTTCGTTTAATGAAGAAATCGCATAAGGAAGAAGTTTCCTATGGGTTTTTTTTTTGATTTGCGATGATCAGTTACCTGCTTCGCTAACCGATTATCGCAAAACGAAGATTTTCGCACAGCTGATTGGCGGTTTCAAAATGGCCACCGGGTTTAAAAAATGGCCGCCCACTGTTTTCTGGGACAGATTCCTCGCTGCACAGGCAACGAAAGTGGCCACGCTATGAAGGATCTTCGCTGGACAGTGAGTTTCAAGCCCATAGGAACGCATTAATCGGGTTTTAATGCGTTTCTATGGGCTTTTTAAAATCGCTTTACGATGTTTTCGTTCTACAACGATTTCACTGGAACGAATTAACATCGTAATGCACCACTGTAATTGGACCAAAAATTGAGGGTCGTCTTATACAGGGCAGGCAGCTGCTTTCCCTGCCTTTTGTGAAGCAACAGAGTAAAGCAGCTGTGAAACAGCAGCACACTCACACCCTTTTGATCCTGAAGCAGCGATGAAAGCAGGCTCCTTTCATGGCTGCATTAGCCATTTCCTAAACTTTCCCACTTAGAAAGCGGGAAAGGCAGCTGGGAAAGAGTGCGAGGATCAAAGGGGCGCGCGTGTGTGCTGCCCTCAAGTTTTCTAATTTGGGTGTTAGAAAGGGGGGGGTCATCTTATACTGTGGGTTGTCTTGTAAATGGAAAAATACGGTAGTCTATGGGTTTTAAAGGTTACCACCTGCAAGGTGTGTGTTTTTAACAAACGTGCAACTTCTCTTGTTTACCTAATGTTGTTCACCAACACCTTTTGCTTGTTGGAATTAACAAGGCCCCTCTGTGCCTCCAGCAAATAGGAGAGAAGGGGAGAAACAGCATTATGGGAGAAGCAAAGTGCATCTCCTTTTGGAAAGTGAAACAATATTTTTACAGATTATGACAGGGTAACCTAATGAACTGTATATATGGAGAAAAAGGAAACTCTAGCAACACTGGCAGGAAATAGTTAGATTGGTTAAAAGAGTTGCAATTCATGGTCGTAGGTGGAAAAAAGTATGCCATTGTTACCAAACCTGGTTGCACTGACAACAGTTTCTCCTTCCATACGATGCCTGTGAAAATACTCCTGATGAGAGCCTTCTTGTTTTTACCACTGGGATCCATTTCCCCACAGTCCTTTCTTATTCAATAACCCTTTCCCCCTCACAGTCCCATCTCACTCACCTGCTTTTGGTAGAACTGACAACAGACATAGGGTGATTCCCATCATCCTTCACAACCAGGATATTGTTCTGTGAAGGGAACCATTAACAGAAAATTAAGAGGAGCCCTTTCCCCACACTATAAGAAGATTGGCCAAGTGATGCCCTGGACGGAAACATCAGCTCTGTTTCTGAAATCAGATTTACAAGTGTGAGGGGCAGAGACCTTCTCAAGGTGACATCCCTACCCCAGGTGGTACCCTCCTTCTCAGAAACTGTCTCTTTCGTTTTAAGGCAATTGGGACAGGGACAGGGACAACAGGAAAAGTTACTTCAGAAGAGATTTTCTGCAGCAGATAAGACTGCACAAGTTTAAACTACACTTCTTCCTTGAATTGCATGGATCTAAGCAGCATGGTCTGGGTTATAGACTTATATACAGTATATAGGTAAAGGTCCCCCTTGACATTTTGTGTGTGTGTGTGTGTCTGTATGTATAAAAATATTTCAATAAACACACACACACAGAGGGGGGGGGCTGCTGTTCATCTCCAGGAAGTGGCCTGATAAAGGTGGGTCTCAGGCACACCGGGGGCCCTGCTGTTGATGGTGGCGCAGTGGCCCCTGGTCTGATGGTGGGAGCCTGGCTGGCCCCTCTCCTTTCATGGTGGCTCCAGGTGGCAGCTGGGAAAGGGTGCAGGAGCATGCTGAGAGGCTGATGCAGGTTCATGCATGTGAATAAACAGTTTATGTTTATGTAGCTGTGTTCTTGTGGGCATAAGAGTTATATATGAATTTTGAACGACACAGGCAGGGGTCTGGCACCCTTAACCTCAGCATTGTTGAAAGGAGACATGTAACTTGATCAGCCCTCTTATGCTTACATTTAATGAAATGCTTTATTTTAATGGTGTGGATGGGAGTGTTGTAAGTTTCCCTGAATACTCTTACAAACCATTTGATAGTGTAGAAATTTCAATAAATACTTAATACATTAAAAATAGTTATCAAAAGGACAGATTGAGTTTTCTCCCTCAGAAAGAGAGAGAGGGGGGGCATCATATTCCAAGAATTAGGGGAAACCAGTCTCAGCCATATCTTAAATTTGATGGCTCATTGCCATAGGGTTCCTTTGTTCATTTTTCAGGTGAAGTGAAACCAAACATCATACGAAAAGCATAGGGCTAGCTGGTAAGGTAATGGTAATAGGCATCCTTCAGTCTCGAGAGACTATGGTATCGTGCTCTGCATGGAGGACTTGGAATAGTGTTTAATGTGGCTGAGAAGGCCAATTCGAGAGTGACAGTCCCTTCCACACTGAAGACAAATACAATCTGTACCCCGTTCAGGTAAGGTAACCTGAACAGGATAGCTAACTGTCACAGAGCACTTGCATTCTAAATAAGGAATATTTTCATTAGCAAGCCAATCACTGCTGATTTGCTGGCCCCATCCTTAGAGTGAAGCAAAACCTGGGTATCAAGTTCTTCATCTTGTAATGACTCTGTTTTTACTCCCAGCAGATGAGGGGTGGTGCTGGTATTATTCTCTGCCTGAGGTGTCAAAAGAAGCTGGCCGGCTTGACTGGGTGACTGGGAGGGGGTGCCATTTGCTCCTCGGCCTCAGGCAGCAGAACATCCACACCTGCTGCCGAGCTTAGCCCAGAAAACAAATGTTAACAGAAGATGTCTTTAGCAATTTCACTTTACTTCTTGTCCCCAAACTTAGGGCAGGGAAGCTATTCTTACACTTGGTTTGTTACCAGAGATATGACCACGATCTGACATGGCCGCCAGGCATTGCCTAATGGAGGATCCTGGCAGAAAAGAGCTCAACATATCCAGGCGGTATCCTCTGCTACCAGCACAAGAGGCAGACTTCCAGGACAGGATTTACACCCATCCCAGAGGCTTTTATTGATAGTTGAAGAGAAGAAAGGTGTTACCAGCAGGCTCCACCATGACAAATCAATTTGCAAGACCCAGTCAGGGCATATCCAGGCTGAAATATGACAAGGAGAGAGGGATATGTATAATCTTTATGAGTATTGACTCCTTAGCCACTCTGGTTATTATTGCTCATGCAGAAGAGAGGGCAGGAGAGAACCATTTCTGAAACACACACACACACACACAAAACCCCTGCATACATTTAACAGGTGCTACAAGGTACCTATTCTCCCTTGATAGTCAAAAGAGTTTGCAACACTAACATCAGCTAGCTGTCACCATGGTTGCAGCAATTCTCACACACACTGGTTAAAAGAGGCTTGGGAAATGGCGTCTCTCCAGGTGTTTTGTATCGTACAACTCCCATCAACCCTATTCCACCGATAGCCAGTGGAAAGAGTTTATAGGGGCTGCGGTCGAAGCACAGCTAGAGGACCAGAGTTGCCTACTTCTGACAAGCAGTCGCTTGACCTGCAAGATGCCCAAGATGAGAACAAACAGCAAGTAAAATGCAGTGCAAGAAGGGCTTTATGGAATGTTAACAACATAGTCCTCTATCCCTGCAATTCAGCCGGGGACTTACTTTGTACTTGCGGAGTATTGACGAATGGTTCATAATCCGGTCTGTGTCGGCACCATCACGTGGCACAACAACAATGCCAAAGTCCCCAACGATCACTTCCATCTGTTGCAAGACAAAAAGAACATTCTCTGCCACCAAGTAGTGGGCGATGGGGTGGGGGCTGGGAACAGCTCACTTACAGTCATCCAAACTTGGGTCAACATGCCTTTCCCAAACTTAGTTATATTTAGATCTATTTGCATTCTAATCTGAAGTCTTCATCTCTTTTTCAGAAAGTCTCTTAAAAACATTTAGCATTACAGAATGTAAGATTATATCTAAAATTCTCAGTACTGGTTGAGTGTTTGCTCAATCTCCCCAGGGAACCCTGGGAACTGTAGATTTGTGAGGGGGGGGTGTAGACCTCAAGAGAGCTCCGACTTTCCAAATCCTCTAGCGAAAGCTATGCCAGTTCTACTGACCCAGGAGCCAACGTATTTGCGGTGTCCATGCACCCTCACGATGCTGGAGGGAACTGGAGAGGAGTCCAACACTGTTCTCCTCAATCCCAATTCCATAACACAAGCAAAAACAGAAGAAACGGAGGAAGACCTTCAAATGATTACAATAAAAGGAATGCTGTGGTCCCCGCTGGGTCTTGAGCCAGTTTGTATTTCTGAATAGCATACTGCTTGATTCCAGGAATGATTGGGCATATCATGGGTGTGTGTATGTGTCTGCACTGCACGCAGAATTTTAGGGAGTCTCTGTTGAGTGTTGGTTAAATCAACCAGTGTCAGTGCATTGGTTTCATTATAAAATGACCCCAAATTCAGATTTGTTCCTGTCCTCATAGGAAAGAAACACAGCCATTCATTTATTTGAACGTGAGTAATGCAGGGGTGAATCGTTGCTCAGCTACAGCTCCCATCATCCTACACCACTGGCTATGACAACTAGTGTTGAAGGACCTGAAGTCCAAAAACAGCCGAAGAGCCAAATGTTTCCCTGCGGTAAAATAAACACTGCACACATAGGCACAGCTGGGGTGCACACAAACCCTGTTCTGGCAAGTATCCCTGGGTGGATGGGTTGGCCCACCTTTAACTGCACCCCAAATTAATGCAGCTTAGTTTGTGAATATAGGGCAGATACTGAAAATGGGGTCCTCCCTCCATAACGCTTTCCTTCCTCTGCACCCCCGTCCCTGCCCAAGTTTGATTTTCTAGAGTTTGAAATGGCCCTGCCTGGTAGATATAGCAAAGATGACAAAAAAGGAGAAGAAAAGGTGGACCTCACAACACAACAGAAATGGTCAAATACTACAGCAATGGTAGTACTTTCACGGAATGCTTAGTAATGGACTCCTGTGAAGTTACAGGTACCACTGGGGGGATAGGCAAGCAACGTGATGGGAGGAAGCCGGTTCCTGTAATTTGATTACAGAACGTTTGGGTTTAATTAAGGTGGAAACAGAAAGGAAAGGTTTTGATGGGCGCTTCAGCATGGGAGATTATCCTCTTGTGTAATCTTCATCCAAAGGATACAACAAACAGGCCAATAGGCACTGAGTTTCCAACAGGAAGTTGAACTTTTCTTTTTAAAAAGTGGAGGGGGAGTCCTTTCCCTTATCATTTTGGCAGGTTTATCCTGGAATGTTAAGCAGGGTTTCTGGCTTTGCCAGAAATGTCTGAAAGGAATCCCATCTCAGCCTTGTCTCCTTTGGTTTATCTTTCCGGTCCTGGCAGCTTCACTCTTCCACTAACACTACATGCCACATGGTGCTTCCTTTACTGGTGTTCATTATGGTGATGTTGAGAAAGTAGGAATGTTTCCCAATATCACAGGCAATAGGGTACTTGTATGCACATGTGAGAAGAGATTTTAGATTAGGCATCCTTGAGTCTCGAGAGACTATGGTATTGTGCTCTGTATGGAGGACTTGGAACATCATCTAGTGTGGCTGAGAAGGCCAATTCGAGAGTGACAAGAGAAGCTAAAGCAAAATAGTGCATCAATATATACCTCATGGTCAAGATCTATATGCAGACCCAGAAAGCCCTGAAACTGGGAGCTAAGGCAAGGGGGTGTGTTCGTGTGATCAATCAAAAGAACAGGACATTGCTGGCCCTCCCATTAGACAGGGTGAGGCAACAGCCTCAGAGGTAAGGAGGTGGCAGCAAAAGTCATTTGGACGTTTCCCCAGAGCCTCTGGCTCTTGTTGCTTTTAGCCGTTGTGGAGGATACTGATCCACTTCCGGTATTCGACCAGCAGGCCATGGTGGGGGGGGTGCGCCACCCACTGGTGCGGCTATGTATACCAAACCATATTTTATTTACATTTCTTCTATCCTACTAAATCAATAACAATATTCAAGCGGCCACTTCTGTGCAGCAAGATCAAACGAAACGTCATGTGAAATATATATAGGAGGTGAGCCGTAAAGGAAGGGGCCGTCCTTCCTATTCCACTAAGAATTCTTCCCAGGAGAGAACAAATAGCAAAACAGGTGTAATTTTCAAAAGGTATTTTAAGCTTCTTTAAAAAAAAAAAAAGATTTCTCGATCTCATATTTCCAGACCTTCAGGCAAGAATCTTGTTTTTATTTAAGTGTGGCAGTCCTGGTCAGGATCCTCACCACACTACGGCAGACTTCATGACCCTACTATGCTTAGGGCCATTTCACATGTGACATAAACAACAAGCTCAGGGTTGCCACACAGTGTATGGTCAACCAGACCATGGAGTCTCTCTGACAGGCGCGGCAGTGCAACTTCAGAAATCTATTTATTACATTCATAATTTAAGTGTACATTTTAGATGTATGTTTAAAAAAGAAAAAAATGAACAAAGGACCCCTTGAGTGGTATTTTTTTTTTACTCTGTCACATTGTTCTTTGAGTTCTTTGATACAAAAATAACACACCACTTAACAATCTGCAAAAATGCAACAATTCAGGAGCTAGGAATTGATTTATTTTAAAAAAACACATTTTATTTAATTCAGAATATAGCTTATTGAATTTTATAATTTATTTTTGATTGCAAAGTACAAGTTTCTCTTTTTAGTCCAATTCCGATTGTAATTTCCATTTTAATGTCTATTTTAGGATGCATAAGACATGCATTTCAGATAAAAGGACCACGTAGCTGATAATTTAGTCATTTCTCATATGGCTGAAAATGTATTTTCTCAGCCAGCATTTCCTGACCATTGATAGTACCAGCATTCAGTACTGAGAAATGGAGAGTGCATTTATTATGAATTGCTTGGTTTTTTAATCTTGTTTTACTATTTCTGATTTGTGCAATTTTCTCTTGTGCACTCTTGCGGATGTTTGGCAAGATAACACACCACAGAAAGGTCATAAAATAAATAAAGCAATTACTGTGTCAGGGCCTGGGCAGACCTTGCTGAGCTCTGTCCACTCTGAACAGATGGGTGGCACAGAAGACTCCCTTGTCCCCTGTGGGGCCCTCAGACCTTCTGGAGAAACAAACATGGTGAGCACTTGGCTTTAGAGCATGGCCTAGTGGCCATGCTCAGAACAATTAAGTTTAATTCTCCACTGTGCCTCCTTGGCAGGGGCTGGATGCAATAATCTATAGAGTCCCTGCCAGCTATGCAGTTCTAAAATGATGGTAATGATTATGGTTTTTGACTATGGGAGTGAGATTTTCTGGGGTGGTAGGAGAGCATTACTTCATAGTTCCCCCCAAAAGTGGCAGCAATTTGATAGCACATAACACCATCAAAATATCTCCTGCCTGATGGGGGAGGGTACTATCCACTCCTCTTGGCTGGGCTGGCATTTTGGGTTTCTGCCTGCTCCCACTCTGCCCCCCCCAGCTTTTCCTAGCCTCTTCTACAGAACAAGCTGGGGAGGGAATCCCCAGATCCTGGAAGTGAGAGGAAGCCCTTAGGGAAAAAGAAACCCCACTTTTCTCCAGAGGAAGAAAGAAAAGGAGAGAGAGGAAGGAACTTTTTTTGACTGCACACACCTCTGCCCCCCCCCCCGTTCCTTCCTCTCTAGGAACCCAACTCAAGGAAGAATGCATTATTTCTAGTGATTCATCAAAACTGCTTGTTATACAGTGCACAGTGCTGAACATTGTACTCTACAGAATTACAGAAGCAACGACAAACTCTTCCCCCCCCACCCCCCTCCCAACCTGTTCCCCTTTTGCATCATGTCTTTCTTTATGTTACAAGTTTGAAGACAGGAACTACATTACTGTTGATCTCTGCATGCCCCTGTGGGAGGCTTTTCAGTTGGACTGGCATGCACACAGACGCACATGCTTGATCTTGAAACCATTTATCGAATGACCATAACCCAAGAGCATGGCCCTGCCTCTCACCCGCCTCAGCCCCAGTGAGCTTGCATTCGAAATACAGCTAGTTCTATTTTAGGTGCCATTTCAAGAATTCCTCTAGATCTTGTCATTTTTTCCCTCACTGTGTGGGGCGGGAGTGACACCCCCATCTTGGAAGTAGAGAGACTGCTGATTCTAGGGTTTATTTTTTATTTATTTATTTATTTATTTGCAGGGCTCTGTCCCAAATGGCTGCATTAAGGAAGACACAATTACATAATTTTAGCCCTAAATATAGCCTGTGGGCAGAAACAGCCTCAGAGGACCTACTATAACTAGAGATGTTTCCACACCATGGCATGAATTAGGATTTTTTGAAAAATAAATTCAGTGGACGGTATCTAGAATAAGAGGTACAAGAGAATTTTAGAACATTTCTTACTAATATGAGATTAACACCAGATCACCCTATCAGCTTATCTATGGATCTTTGTTATTATTATTTCCTGTATTTACACTTCATTGGCAGAGGCGAGAAGGAAGGAAGGAAGGAAGGAAGGAAGGAAGGAAGGAGGGGTTGTGGGCTGGAATGCAAATCACATTGCATTCAATATGAAGGGTGAACTCCCCAACCAATCTGCAACTCCTGTATAATCACTGACTGTGGTTTCAAAGGCAATACAAGCTGCAAATCAAATCACTTCCCACAGTACTTGCGCCCGTAGAAACAGAAGATCCTTATATAGATTTGATCGTTCTACTTTTCCTTAGTAATGGAGATACCATGCAAAGGGAGGGGAAGCAAAGAGTGCATAAGTGAAAATGAACTGCTCAGAAGAAAGAGAGGGAGACAGAAGAACAACAGAACACAGCTTTGCCCCTCGCCTCCCCTCTACTCACATCAGCTTCATTCCACAGGCCTGGGATACAGAAGGACTCCAGTAAATCACTTCCGCACAGCAGCAAGATCCGGAGCTCTGCAGGAAAAAGATATTCAGATAGGAAAACCGGTTCCCTGCATAGCAGCCCCACATCAATCTCTTTCCCACGACCTAATGACCTGGACAGAAAGACAGAGGGTTCACTGAAGAAAAGAAGTGTGTGTGTGTGGGGGGGGGTTGGGGAGAGAAAAAGAGAGACTCCAACACAGAGCAGTTGCCAGGTTTTGTTTTCAAGCCTGGCTGCCTTCAGCAAGCATCTCCCACCTGCGGGGGAACGGCTTGCGTCAATGCCTGCATGGTTATCGTTAGGGGCTCCTGGACTGATTTATGAACTTCTTCCTTGTGAGTCCTGCAGCTCACAAATCTGCTGAGAAAGCTGGCCGTGTGCCCTGTCAATTTCTGAAAGGAGATCTGTTAATGTGCCTGTTCTGGCAGGAAGTGCTATGCACTCAGCAAACAGTAACTCAGGGGAGTCAAGCCAGTGTGTAAGAAGAAATCCTAAAAGAAATTCCCTATACCTCAAATAAAGACTTGCTTCTCCCAAAAAAAATTCTGTGTGTTCAAATTGATACGGCATGCATGCAGCAGCATCTCCTATATTCTTCTGCAACTGCTTTCTCGTCCATTTAGGCAGGGGTGGGGACAGGCGGCCTCCTGGATGTGATCGGACTACAATTCCCGTCAACCCTAGCCAGGATAAGGAACAGTGGGAGCTGAAGTCCAAAAGGACCTGGAGATGGCCACACATTCCCTATCCTCTTCGTAAATCACTGCAATATCCTCCCAGAAAAGGACCTGTGTTAGCACATTTGCATGTGCAGGTGCTAACAAGAAGCCTTTGCCTCTAGAATTCCTTGGCTGCCTCATGTGACTGGAACACTCATGTCATTCTCCAAGTTAAGGTTATATTAGGTACATGTGTGTAAGAATGTACCCATCTGAATGTATGTGAAAGAGGTGGGTGGCCACGCTTTCAGCAATGGAGATGCCAAAAAGGTTTTCTAGATGGCAGTCTGGCCCTTGAGCTGAAACATTTCTCTAGCCCATTCTAATCTGATGTGGGTTTTCTGTCTTTGTGCAAGGCTTGACTTCTGGCTTGCACGGAGCACTCTGCTTGCCCTGACACTCTGGCACTGGCCAACAGGATCCACTCGTAGTGTCAGCTGTCTTATATCGGTGGCTGCTTTTACCCTGCGTCTATGCCTTTGATCATTCCTAAATTAACTGTTTGCAGTCCATCAGTGGCCTGGAAGAAGATAAAGCCCAGCTCTCTTTTTAATAATAAAAGTGTTTTTAGTTGTTTGCCCAGAGATGTTGTTTTTCTTTACTAAAGGAAAGTTCTTCACACTGGTGCAATCCTGATGAAGCGGTGTTTAATCCACAAAAGTTCAATATATTGTGAGATGATGTTTTAGTGGTCTATAAAGGTATCAACTATTTTTGCATTTAGATTTTATTGAGTGACTATTAAGAAGCCTAGCCTAAAATTAGGTTCTAGCTGCACATGATATGTGGGTCTGCCAATTGTGCTCTGATCCTTTTTTTATTTTACAAAGAAGCAGTAGCAAGGAAGGGACTTTTTGTTCCTGTCTTAAATCACTGTTTTCTCAAAGTAGCCTTATAAGGCCCTTTAGTTTGCTTCTATGTAGCTAATACTATGGATGGGGGGTGTGTGTTTAGATCAGGATGAACTTTATTTTAAAGGGAGGGGAGTAAAGATTAGTTCTTTCCCCTGACCTATCTAAATGCCTCCTTCCCACAACCACATTTGGTAAATACTTTATGTCAGAAACAACAGTCATGGACCACCCACATGACATGCATCCTTGAGTGCGCATGTGTCTTGCGGTCTCCCCGGAAGCACCAGCGTTTGTAGGGACAATGTCATGGCCTTCCTTCCCGTCCTCTGACAAACACATGCACTGCTTAGCCTCAGTCCAGGAAAGGCAATTACTTACCAATTTCTTCATACCTCATCACTGTCCCCAAATTTGCATTTTCATCTACACAGAAGGTGAGGACAGAAGGAAGGAGAGAGAGAAAAACACGTGGAAATTTAATTTCACAGGAAGATCTGCCCATTAGTTCAGTATTAAAACAGTGTGCTCATGTACGTACTGTTTAATGTAAGCCATAAGGAAGCAATTACTTATTTATAACCCACTGTACATAAATATATGATCTAAAAACAATGCCACTAATATCAGTGGTTGAAGTAGCGTTAATAATAAGTTTGAGCCCTATATATGTGTAAGACGAGATGGAAATGTAACCACGAAATAATCATCAATCCATCAATGAACAAGGCACCAAGGACTGCCTGGAAAATGGCCTTCTCTGAAATGGAGAAAAGGCTGAGGGAACCGTGGGCTGAACCCTTTTTTCCCACCTAGTGCTTGTCCCCCTAAATCTGCCTCATGGCATAGGATTCCTCGCTGTCCTCTCAACAGGGAGAGAAAGGAAGGGGGCCATGGGGAGATGGTGGAAACAGAACCAGAAGCGAAGGGAAGGGCTTGCCACCACAAGGCACTTATGCCACTCCTGTTCATTTCCACAGGGCTTACAGTCCCCAGCCTTCTGCTCTTGATAGGACCAACCATCAACCTCATGGCAGGGCTGATGAAGTTACTGGTCAATAGATAACAGACCTTAATGTGTGGATGCCAACAATATCCTGAACTTCATGGATATCCATCCTGCCATGTGGGTGAGGGCTTCTCTCCAATAGCCGTGGTGGTCTAAGACCTACTGAAAATGCCCAGCACCATGGGAAAATCGACAACTGTGATGTGTTGACAAGCCAGAGAAACAAAGATGGCCGCTATAACTAAGGGCCAACTCAGACGTGTGGGGTTAAAGATGTATACTAAATATGGAACAGCCTCGTCACATATCATAAATAGGTATTAGCAGGGGTAGGATCTGCCCTTTGGACAAAAACGAGTAAGCAGGGAAGGGAAACTAAACACAGCCTTCTCTTACACCTTTCCTCACTGGCTCTGCTGATTTAAAATTGCTTTCCTCTCATCTGGCAATCATAATAGAAGTGAGCACAGAGAGAACAACTTAAAACAAGGATGAACAACATGTGGCTTTGAAGATGTTCTCCGTCTGTAGCTTCCATCATTCCCTCCCCCTTCGTTATGCAGGCTAGATGGAATTTATAGTTCAATGGCAACTGACGGATCAGAATTCCTCACCTTCAGCTGAAAAAAGCTACAGAGTGCAGTAGGTAGGTTTGGCTACCTGCTTACATGAGCTCCTTTTGGGTAAAGAGTAGACAACCCAGGCCTTTGCTTTTATTTGTGAGCAGGGCAGAGACTGGACATAATTTTCTAGATTGAAATTCCTAGAATTCCCCAGGGCAGAAGGTAACTTTTCCAAGCTCAGGTTAGCCTTCAGAGGTATTGCTGAACTCTAGAACACACCAGACTTTTAATCAAATTGCAGGGATCTGCAAAAATCTGGCTCATTTCAGGTCTCTGGCTAGCTAAAGTAATTCAGATGTTTGTGGAAGTGATATACGGTTCCTTGCAATAAAACAAAGGAATCCTGCCTATCTTAAACAACATTTCACCAACACCGCAGCTGCACAGCACACTTTCTGCAGTTCCTGGAGCAGGACTGTGTGCCCCACCTCCCCGGAAAGGCTCCTGCTCTGAGGCCAGGAATGTCCTGCAGCTGGACCAGACCCTCCGCAGCCTGCTATCAGCTGCTGAACATCTGGGCAAACCCACAGGCTGAGGCTCCCCTGATCTGTATACTTAACCTCCAAGATAAGAACAGATAGCAGCTTTTAACTGGCCATAACCAGTTACATTTCTGTCACATACCCACGAAGGTGAAACGCTCCATTGGTGGACGAACACAGCAAATCCTGCTTAGGCTTTCTCCCACCTTCCCCAAAAACTTTGCTGAAAAGGCAGGCAGAAAAGGGGGGGGAAGCAAGGTCAGTAGCCAGCACTGAATGGAGGCAGAGTTTCTAACACCCTTCTGCCTCCATTTAATTACTTTACTAAGCAGTAAAAATGTATGGGAAATTTATTTTTTAAACACCGGAAATACTTTTGACTCTTTGTTGGTTTGCCAAAGCAGCACTATGCTGATCACTCTCACCGTAACCAGGACAGATCTGCATTTTGGCCCATAAATTGTATCCCAGAGAGACAGAAAAATAATCCCGACACTTAGTTGAAAATCACTAGAAGACAACTTTCATGGAGATATTTCAACATGAATAAATGTACACCTGCAGAATTGCATGTTAGCCCTAAAACATGTTTACCTACTGACTTACATATTTATTTATTTTTGAAAGAGAAGGGCAGCAGTTTCAGCTACATCTACTTCATAGTTTGAAATCAAAGAGGCACATCACACACAAATACTGACCACTAATTCTCAGCAGGGTTTTTTTTTAAACAAAAGGCAGCTGACATTTGAAGTGGGAAGACAGCACTTTTCCTATACAAAACTGATCCAGATGTCCCGTCTCCCCCACCCCCCTGCCCTTCATGGGATTCCAGACAGTGAATAGTACCCAGGAAATTATGCATTTTTAAGTCCAGCAGGGTGTGGGTGGGAAGCAGCTGGGGAGATGATTTTGAGCAGAAACATGGTCAGATATAAAGAATTAAGCATCCCTCTCTCTCCACACAGCCACTACGCTTCCAGCATTCCAGGCCTGAGCTTTTGTTTAAAAAAAAATGTTGGGGCTTTGCCACATACTCAACAGCTTAATCTTTAGGGACCAATGCTATGCATATTTAGCACTTCAGCCTTTGCTTATTCTGTACGTACATAATTTGAGTTCTATTAAAGACCTGAATCCAGCTGGAATGGATCATAGCCAACATTTCCCCTAATTTTCCACTAGCACTGAGGGAACGCCCCGCCCCGCACGGGCAAAGGTCCGGCCGTGACTGGAATCAAATGAGTGGCAACACTAGCTGTGGGTGTGTGCCACCAATACAGCACTGCACAGCCGCACAGCTGCACAGCTTGGCGGGAACATTGATCATAGCCTCTGCGTCACAGCCTTAGTGACATTGAGAGCCACATTCAGGCAGTTCAGTGGGCCTAGTTAAAAATCTCAATGTACTCACAGGCAAATATTTGCGCTATGTGAGAAGTGGAAGTATTTCTGCACATGGATTTTCTTTCCTCACTGTGCTTCCTTTCTTCCTCATGTTTTGAATGAGAAATCTCATTGGCTAATCCAGGGACTTTCTGTCAACCATGCCCATTTTGGGGAACTGCCCACAGAGGACTGCCTTTTCCATAACTGCGGTGCCTTTCTCCCAGAGATTACAAAGCTTTGTTGCTTCCTAAGGCTGACTCCAATCCTTAAGGCACTGAAAGCTACGTCCAGCCAGATGAGCCTTATGATAAAGGGAGCAGAGACATGTGCCTGGAGGTGCATGAGCTTCTCCAATTTTATTTTATTTTATTTTATTAGCTTTATACCTCGCCCATCTAGACCAAAGGTCTACTCCGGGCGGCATTACAAATTTAAAAACAGTAAAACCAATAGAACCAATAAACATGCAATGCAATAAATCCAAGATGTTAAAATGTGAATTTAAGATACAGCAGGAGAGAAAGCCTGCCCAAATAACCAAGTCTTACGTTTACTTCTGAAGACACCCAGAGAGGGAGCCAGGCAGTTCTCCACAGGCAAGTTGTTCCAGAGGCGAGGAACATTCCCAAAGAATGAATCTTTCTCTGCTTTACCCATGTCTGCTGCTAATGTGGAAGAGCTGCTTCTTAGTGGACTCTCCTTACGGGACCAGAGAAGCTATATGCCATTTTTGAAGGGGGATATTCTTAGGCTACTGATTGCTCTTAGATGTGTTGATTCTATTTATTTTCATATTAGAACATCTGTCTGGAAAAATGATTAAATCAGCTCATAAATAAACCAAATGTTTGTTCAGCAGCAGAATGTTAATGAGGGCCAGATGCTGGGAAGATAGTGCTAGGAACTCAGCACTAGACTAAAAAGAGCCTTGACCTGATCCTGTAGGATCGTGATGCTCTTATGGACTCAAAATGGACCAAAATCTGAAAAACCATTTTTTACTTCCCTAAGTAAAAAACTGGCCCCATCACCTCCTGGCAGATACGGAGGCAGTGACAGATTTTACCTTCTTGGGCTCCATGATCACTGCAGATGGTGACAGCAGCCATGAAATTAAAAGACGCCTGCTTCTTGGGAGGAACGCGAGGACAAAGCTAGACAACATCTTAAAAAGCAGAGACATCGTCTTGCCAACAAAGGTCCGCATAGTCAAAGCTATGGTTTTTCCAGTAGCAATGTATGGAAGTGACAGCTGGACCATAAAGAAAGCTGATCGCCGAAGAATTTATGCTTTTGAATTGTGGTGCTAGAGGAGACGCTTGAGAGGCCCCTGGACTGCAAAGAGAACAAACCTATCCATTCTAGAGGAAATCAACCCTGAGTGCTCACTGGAAGGACGGATCCTGAAGCTGAGACTCCAATACTTTGGCCATCTCATGAGAAGAGAAGACTCCCTGGAAAAGACGTTGATGTTGGGAAAGAGTGAAGGCAAGAGGAGAAGGGGAAGACAGATGATGAGATGGTTGGACAGTGTCATCTAAGCTACCTACATGAGTTTGACCCAACTCTGGGTGGCAGTGGAAGACAGGAGGGCCTGGCGTGCTCTGGTCCATGAGGTCACAAAGAGTCGGACATGATTTAACAACTAAACAGCAGAAAAATCCAGTTGTTTGGCTTTGAAACCCAATCAATGCCCCCCCTTTTTCTAGCTGCCCATTGAGGCTTCTCTCAAACAATTCTGGATTGCCAATCTGCAATGTGGAGTTTGTCTCTCTCCTGACATTGGACTGTCTGGCTTCCTTTTTCCTCACAAATGGTTTCTTTTTGAAGATCTGGGTTGCCTTTTTCTGGGGCTTACCTGCAGTAGGCTTGTTTGAGAGATTACTGTTCTGATAGATAGGCTGTGGGGATTCATTCTGGGGCTGTCCAATCACTGGGGTCAAGGAAGGTGTGTTCACGTTAGAAAGGATGCAGCCAGTCACTCGCTAGGAAAAATAGTGGGGGCAAGTTGGTGTTTGCACATTGACATGACAGCTGAAGAAAGGATATTTATGCATTCAAACATTAACAACTCTTTCCCTGTCTGAAAAACAACAACCCTCCATATCTCCCCAAATCTTCCTAAAAGTAACCAGTCTATACACCCCTGCCAAAAGAGTGAAGGTTGACTCAGAAATGCCTGGGTTTTCACAAGCATTCATGCATGTACATTCATTGTGCAATAATGAAAACACAGAAGACGTTCTCACGAAAGACCCAAGTAAAACAAGAGGTTTAAATCTGTGTCCGGCTGCACTGTAGAATGAGAGGCTGGACATTGGAAGTTGCTTATGATGTTCTCATACTGCAAGACAGCATCAAGCAGAGAGGAGACAGCAATTTTGGTCTTGGGATTCTGGAAAAGAAAATCAAGTAAAGTAGAAATGGATCTGATCCATCAAAGCATTTCCAATCAAGTGTGTGTGCTTTCTTAGGATCACTTAACACAAACCAATTGTATGTTATTTGTTGAAGGATTGAAAGTATATAGTCTTGGTTGGCAAATTTAAAACGCACGTGCAGTTCAGGCAGATGCTAGCTCAACTGAAAGTGTTGCTCCTAAAGCCTTTAATGAATTTCAAAGTACAGGAAGCAATCTTTCTCCTGGCCACCAGGGGGTGCTCAATTCTTTCCTTTTATAATTAAAGGAATGGAAGATGCACTTGCCACTGTGCACGAAAAAGTGTGTGCAAAACTGCTGGTGTAAGTTAACTGCCAGCAGGAAAGAAACTGAAAAACCTGTCCTGCAAACTAAAAGCCTTGCACTGGACCAGTTAGCAAAACATTCATGTCGCATACAGGAATCACATTGAATCCCTGTGAGTCAACGGCTGTTGTGTTAACAACGTTCTGTGACTGTACTGCAGCAAGCCAAATGGCCTGCCCGGATGCCGTTCGGATCCAGTTTGGGGGAAATAACATGCTGGTCGTATCTATGCACAGATTTAAATCATTTTAGTAGACATCCTCATCCCCCTCCCCATTTTTGTGTGAGGGGAACAGGGACCTCTAAGAAACAGGGGGAGGAGGGTGGGCTTATCAATGCAATACTTTGAAAGACATCAGGGCTGTTGAACAGATGACAGGTGGCATACATTTCTCATGTCGATATTCCCAACAGGCTGAAGCAAAATAATAATTTCGAAATAGCTATAAGAAAGTAAGCACTGGAGATGCCACAACATTCTTGAGATGAATAGAGTTTGACAATCAATTTGTTGTTCTGCCAACACCGGGATCAGAAAAGAAATGAACTGAAATCTAGAAGGTCCAACATGGCTACAGATCCGTAGGGCTTCTGTAAAGATATTACAGACTGTTGCTTTCGAGACGTTTTAGTATTTTGCCTGGCATGCCAGGGTACATGTTCAGGGGCCGGCTCTTTTCCTTGGATGGCCCACTTAGCTGTTTGTAACACTCAAGAAAACTTCGGGAGAGAGAATAAGAAGCAAATCCAAAATGTTGCTTTGAAAAACAGCTACTAATACTCTGTGTTAAGGGATCCTAAGAAAGCACACACACACTTGATTGGAAACATTCTGATGGGTCAGATCCATTTCTACTTTATTTGGTCCATCATCACAGACCTTCCCGTTTTACTGAGGGCTGAAGTAGATGATGGCATTGATAGTTTGCTAGAAGCAGCATTCTCTGCAAAAGGCCAAAGGCCATTATTTTAATAGAAGTTTGATCAGGACAAGCACAGTTTTGTTCACAGGTCAGATTTCTTAGGCACCAGCTTTGAAAGACGGACATGCCTGGAGGGGGGAAAAACTGTAAGAGGAAGAAATACGCCTCCCCCTCCTTAACTTGTGTTCATGTCAACGTGAACTCGTTGCAATGGGAGGACAGAAGCAAACCACAGACTCCTGGATCTGCTCTTGCATCGGTTCGCCTCCCATCCACCCGCCCGCAGTTTATATTGCCTCTTGTCTGAAGAGAATTTCGGCCAACACAGCAGACTGAAACTGTCATGTATTTCCATTTAAATGTTTCATTTAAACAACAATTTTAGGATCATGTCTGCTGCAACGAAGGACAGATAAAGGGAAATGCCTTCAGCCCAGTGACTGAATTGTCAGCCAGGAAGTTCCCACTTCCCTCTTCCATGAGCTCAAGAGACCGCTTTGTACACCTACTAACATCAGTCCCCACTCCCGTTTGCACCATGGGAAGAGCAGCCCCAGCTCTTTCTATGGGATACTTAGATAAATGTACAAATGAGAGCCAGTGTGATGGAAAGGCCAGCACTTTAACCTGGGACTGGGGGAAATGCAGGTTTCCATCCCCACAAAGCCATGAAAGCCAGGGGCTGACCTTGGCAAGTCATTTTCTTACAGGCTGGCCTACCTCACAGGATTGTTGTGGGGCTACAGCAAGAAGGAGGAATAGGGTCAACAAGGTAGTTCATTGGAGGACATGGGACATATAAATGTACAACTATTGTTACCTTTCAGTCTGAGCTGTAATAAGTTGTGCCTATTGTTGGAAACAGTCCAGGTGAAATTCCAGATCTTTTTCATTTTGGAAAGCGAACACCCTTACACACATTTTAGAAACATTGGGAAAAGACAGAAAGACACCAGCTCTCCCCACAACCCAAACAAAAGCAAAGTGAAGCAGAGCCGAGCTGAGCCAAGTCAAGCCAAGCTCAAGCGGAAAAGCCAGTGAGGACATGTAGCCTGGGCACCAGGTAAAATTGTATTATATAATTTATTTAAACTTTTTTTTATCTGTACCAGACAAAACCTCTGATCAATACTAATCATCACCTGTAACCTGCCCACATTTTGAAGCAAGGATACCCACAGACATATTGAGAACAAACGGTACCTTTTAATGCCCCTTCGTCTGTTGTCCCAACCCTACCCTCCTTCTGAGGGATCCACTCACTTTCATCAGATCCCGGTGGTGTTCCAGTACACTGCACGTTGTCTGCCAAGTATCCTGATAACATTCCCAGGGGTCCACTCTATGGCGAAGAAGAAATAAAGAAAGGCTCACTCAACCTTCACAGAGGACTACACTTGGCTCTTGCTTAATCAATGCACCTACTCCTTTCCTGTCGGTAATTACTCATTTATAATCTAAACATGGGTCTTTCAGTAGTCTCCCATTCAGATTATCATCAGGTCTACACTTCTCTCTCTCTCACACACACACACACAGCAGGTCTACACTTCACAAACACACACAACCACAGAGTATTTCTAGAGATGCTGAGAGATGTCCCTTCATTTTTAATAATTATTAAAACAATATTTATTAGGATTTAAATCATGTTTAACTCCAGTCTGGATGTCTCTTCATTTTTAATAATTATTACAACAGTATTTATGAGGATTTAAATCATGTTTAACTCCAGTCTGTAATATGGGGACCACTTTTTCATAGTTTTATTACATCTATCTTTTTATCCAGAGGTAGCCATCTTTTTAACTTTCTCTGCCAGATCGAGCACTATAAGCTGCCAAGACCTCTACAAATAACAGATGCAAGGCAACTGTACGTTCTAATTTGTGAGAAGAGAGCAATTATTTTAAATAATTTGAGAACTTTCTAAATGAAGACTAAAAAAGAAAATTCTGTAACAAAAAGTACTACTGAATTAAGAGCAATTTATGCTTTTAATTGAAAATACTAATTTTCCTACCAGCTTCTTACTTGGCTAATAGCAATAGCAACAATGAGTGAGGAAGGGTGAGTCAGGGCTTGTAAACATAGTTCTGCCTCTTCTGAGTCACTGGTGTGAAGGGAAAATATCACCCACTGATGTATTTCATCCCAGCAAGAGAAAGAAGCAGTTGAGCAAAACGGACAATTGGTTGCAGTGTCAAGGGACCAGACCATTATGCTAAAAGGCAATAGTGAAGTATGTTGGCCTAAGCTTGATTTGTAGCATTTAGGAAAAGAATAAAATAATGGGACACAAAGGGAATAGAAGAGAACAGAACAGAAGGCCAGGCTCTTGGAATCCCTTGGACAGACCAGATGACACTTTCCTTCCTCTTCTAGCCCCTCTCTAGTATTTTTATTCAAAGGCAAGAGAACAGCATTCCCCATCCCTGGCGCAATCCAAAGGCTTCCTTTTTCAGGGCCAAACAGGGATTTCCTCCTTGCTGTTGCAATCAGAGGCAATCCCTTTCCCCTGAGCCAGAGAGATCTGAGAGAAGGACCCTGTCTCTGCCCTAGGCAGGAAGAAACGGCCCCATCTCTGTTCCCCAGCAGATAAAGATATGCCCTGACCTTCCTCGATACTGGAGGGGGGGGCACAGGACAGATGTGGAGCCTGAGGAAGTGGGGAAGGTGGACAGAATTTGTCCTAGGCTTCCCAAGCCTAGGATAACAGAGGGACATTTCCCTCAAGTCGCTAACTCCAGTTGTGTAGATTTAAAACAAGGGGAACTTTAGGCTTTTGAAAATTACTCCCTCATCAGTCGATTCCAGGGTGGCCTGCCTATTGCCTTGGCAAAGACTCACTTAAGCCGAAGCATAAAACACCTTCCTGAAGATGAGAGGGCCTGCCCTCTTCCTTTCACTGAAGGTGAAGAGAATGTGTAGTAAGTTATTGTCCTCTTTTGTAGATGGAATCTTACAGGGAGATTTATTGTGGCCAGAGATCACAGACTGATTTGCTGCAAGGAGACCTCATGGATAATGCCCCTGTTGTTTTACTGTATTGTCAAAGAAAATTGCCTGGCGTCTCTTGTGTCGCCTGGATTCCTGTTCCCAGTTATGAGGTCTGGTTGACCCCAAAATTGAGGCATTCTCAAAGTTAGTCTGGTGCAACTGAGTTATGCTGGGCCACAACTGTGAGTGAGTCAACAACTCATATTTCTCATCATCAGCCAGCAAGGTCATTGGTTAGGGATGATGGGAGTTGTAATCCAACATACTTGAAGAGGACTAGGTTGGGAAAGACTATCTGAGATCTTTCTTGAGGTTAACTAGTTTTAATTTGGTCCAGGGGAGGGGATGTATGAAGCTGGTAAGAGGGCAGAGGTATACTACATTACAAAACAAGGAGAAAACAAAACCCAGGACAAAAAAAGAACTGCATGAGGCTTGAATTCTGGCTGAATTTCTATCAACAATGTTAGATTAGACAGAGTAGTCACTGCCAAGTAACTGAAATGCACGCATTAAAGTATTTGTACATCTGGATATGAATTCCAGGTGATCAATTACTCACATCCGCTTGAAAGATAAAGTTATTTTATTTGCAATGCTGTCAAGTCACAGGAAGGCAGGACTCTCCAGAAAGGACAATAATGCTGGGAAAGGTTGAAGGAGACAGGAAAAGTGGAAAACCAAATATGAGATGGATTGATTCCCTAAAGTAACCACAGGCTTGAGATTACAAGAACTGAGCAGGGCTGTTTGAGGACAAGACATGTTGAAGAGCACTCATTCATAGGGTCACCATAGGGTGACTTGACAACACACAACAGCAAAATGCTTGTATATTTTGCATGCCTGTCAAATAGCTGAGAAACTGTAAGGATGGCTTAATGTCAGTTAAACAAAAATGCTTTCAGAGGAATAAGTTAAGAGGCCAAAATAACTCTGATGTCTTAGGAGTGTCTCTGTTTCATAGCTTGGAAAGGTTACTCTGGGACTATGATTTCAGGACTCCTCAGCCAGCATGTCCAGTGGCCGTGGCTGAGAACTGTAGTCACAAAAGCAGCTTTTCCATGCTCTGATGTGTTTGCTTTAAGCAAGTGTTTGCCCAGGTAAGAGTCCAAGAACATAATATCCTGAGAGAACCATAACTAGAAAAAACATAGGGTTTTTTCCTTTTATGTATGTATATGTCAATAGTTTAGTTTAAAGTGGAGAATATGTAGAATGCTACTGAGAAGAGAGTTTAAAGCAGTTTAAAGGCAAGATTCAAACTAACCCTTTAGCATGCAAAAGAAAATATACATGTAATTGCCTCTAAAAGGCAACCTCTTAAAATATTCCCATCTTTCTCCATACCATGCATTTTGCTAAAATTCAAACTGCCTCAATATTCATATATCCTACCCTGGGCATTTCCAGGAACTGTGGGTGCCCAGCACCACTAAGTCTGTCTCTCACAGGATGTGGAAGCACCCAGTGAAAGTGTGTCAGAATTCCCAAGGTTCTTGTCATCAGGCTCAGCTTGTTAAATAGAGAAAGAGAGAGAGAGAAGGAAGTTCAAACCCTCTCATAGGCTGAGAGTGGGCAGCACAAGGTCTTCTCTGAAGACTCAAGGCAGGGGTCCCCAAACCCCAGTCTGTGGCCCGGTGGTGAGAGTGGGCAGCACAAGGTCTTCTCTAAAGACTCAAGGCAGGGGTCCTCAAACCCCGGTCTGTGGCCTGGTGCCGGTCCGTCGCTTCTCAGGACTGGGCCACAGAGATGGATCTCCGCCCGCCTGGCGGGCATGTCGAGCTCAAAGGGGGGCATGTCGTACTCAGGGCCATGCGTGCGAGTGCGACACGCCCACCCACAAGCATAGGGGGGCCCTGTGCACGGAGCCTCCCCCCCCAACCGGTCCACGTTCCAAAAGGGTTGGGGACTGCTGACTTAAGGGACTGCTAAATTGGGCTATGCAGCTTAAACATTTTCTTAGCAATCAAGCTCTCTTCTCTCATACTCTCCGCCTGAGGTTTTCAGAGATGTGAACCTGCTAATTAAACACTCTCACTAACAATGTTGCTGAACAGGCTATCTCAAGATAGGGCGGGGAAAAAGGTCATCCAGGGTTAGCATCCAGGCAATAGGATGCCACAGGGGCACTTCCATGAACTTTTCATACAGCCACTGGATCAGGCCTGAATATTTTGAACTAATCAGAAATAGACCACTTTTGGCCCCTTCGAGTAATTCCCTTTTTTAGGACATGCCCTGACATTTTCTACACAACGGGCATTCTTGACACAACTATTAAAGAACCAGGATCCCAGGATCCCTTTTAATCTGCCCTTTCCATTTACTGTATGGGGGGTTTGTGCTTCCCTGAAGATTGCCCCTATGGTCATATCAGAACATCCTAAGACAGTAGCCCTATTTGTACCTGCCTGGGGGTTCTTGTCTCTTTGGAGGGCATACACATGGGCAGGAATTTGTCATTTGCAGCCACAGTGCGCTTTAGATGGAGAAACTGATGGCAGAAAGAGGAAGGACTAAGCATGCTGGAGAGAAGCGGATAAGCAAAGGTTGAATGAGGCTCCAGATCATACAAAGGTCTGCCCCTCTGTCTTTTCTGATAAATGCTACATAGAAAGACGAATGCAAGCTCTCCATCACAGCAGAGAACATATTTTATGTGCTGCACAACTTTTACCTTATCCAGTCAGAGGACTGAACAGCCAGCTGGCACATTGTCAGGCGATGTCGGCTGGAGACCAAACCCTGCAAGATACCAGATCGTCAGGCAAAGGAATGAAGGGAAATTTGATTGCACTGGAATTCTCTATAATTACATTCACTCCCTAAAGTGAAGCTAAATTGGGCTTCAGAGCTTGGAAACCATTGTGACATTGGCAGATGAAACTGGGAGAGCTAGGTTCAAACTTCTGCTTGCTGTTCTATTCCAAGGGGCAGCCTTAACTGGATCACCAATTCTCAGCCTAATCTACCACAGACAGAAGTGTTCCAAAAATGTTTTCTGTATCTTTCACTGGTAGCTACCAACTGCATCTCAGCTCAAAAGGTTGAGCTGCGGTAGAAACAAGAAAATGACCTTGTAGTGAGTCAGGCCACTGTGGCTTGCTCCTCCTCTCCAAGACCTCAACAAAGGCTTGTCCAAGCTCTGCTGCACAAGATCCTCAGTGACGCCAGGGGATTGATTCTGGAATTCAGTCATCCAAAGGACATGCTCTACTTCAGTGCTGTGGCCACTCATTATAAATATTTTCTGTCTCAGGCAGGTCTTATTGGAGGATATTTATATGATTTCTGTGGTGACCAGTGGAAAGTTCTATAGCAAGTACTACCCTTATATGATGTTACTATATAGAAATGTGTTTCAAATAACAATTTATAAAACAAAAGAAATACACTCCACATTACAGCAAAGAGAAGAAGATAGTATGTCACATGAAATCACTACTATCTTGTCCCCCAGTATATGGCACTAGCGTCAGCAATAGTAACACCATTACTTGACCACCAGATCTACCCTGAGTGGTACATGCCACAGTTTTACCTCTCTACCTTTAGCAGCTACCCAGGATGCTGATGCTCAATAGATACAAGCCTCTCCCTGATGCTATTAAAATTATAGCTGTTGAATTTCAGTCTGCTCCTGAATTGTTCAGAAAGAAAATGGCAGCTGTAACAAAGAGTCTGAACAATGATCGTTATGCCTATTTAAGCAGTCTCCTGAGGTCACGTTCACACAAGTTCTGAACAGACTTTATTAGTCTCACAAAGAGGAAAAATGAGAAAAGGTTACACTCACCTGCTTTCCATAGGAGTCATGTACTGGTGAGATAATACCACCGATGACAATGAACCTTCCAGTCTTGTGCAGATAATCCCGGGCTCTTTCTAGCATAAGGGGGTGGGGTGGGGGGACAATTGAAAGTGGTAGTTTAGGACAACGGGCAATCAAACTCTAATCATCAGAGACAAAACAGACAACAAAACTACAACCAATATGTCTATGAGTGGAGGTACAAATTATTTCAGAATTGGTCTCAAAATCTGTACAAAAGTCATCACATCTTGAACATTGTTATTATTCAAAAGTGAACATCAGGGATGTTCCAGATGTTTTTGGACTCTGCCTCCTTTTGTCCATTCCTGTTGGTGATGTTGGCTAAGGCTGATGAGAACTGTAGACAAAAATAAATCTGCTGCGTTGCCTCTGTCCACCCTGGTTTAAAACATGCAAAATGCTTTATAATCCTTATTGTAATTCACCAATGGTGAGCAATTCCTAGGCCTAGGTTCCTGTATGTAATTGGATGACAACAGCTGGATGTTCTGCAATGTGACATTCAAAACATATGGGGACTCCGTTTTAGGAGCTGGTGGCCTAAGTGATGTTGAGATAGTAACAACCCAAGCTAATTGTCCTCTGCCACTAATCTATTGCTCAAGTTCTTGCCCCCCCTGCTTAAGACAAGCTTCTGCCCCCTCCTCCTATTTGTTTGCTTTTGCCTTCTTTGTTAGTCTCTCTCTCTCTCTTTTCCTGACCTCCAAACATGTAGCAAGCATGAAGGATGTGTCTTCCATGCGAAGGAGATGATTTTTCCTATTCTTCTACTGACTGTAACTATAGATAACAACTGTAAGCCAACTTGGATTCTTTTTAAGGAGAAAGGCGGGATAAAAATATTTAATTAGCAACAGCAATAATAAGTAAAGATAACTCTTTTTTTCATTTAAACAGTGAATTTTTAACGTACAAAGTAGCAGTCACTGTGAAAAGTGGTGAGCTACTGAGATTTAAGCTATTCTGTTATGCTTTCTATGAGCAGTTGCTGTTTTTGTACCTCATACTCTGCTTACTGCAAAAGGAATTAACCAAATTCTCCAATAGCTGTTAGTGGCCATCCTCTTAGCTTCTGCCCTAGCAGTGAAAGCAGGTGGCACAGAGAGAGGAGGTTTTAGCTGCCATGGGCTGTTCCGCTGTTCTGTTCTTAATAATCACTGTTTATTGTAGACATTGGTTGAACTGTTCAAATCCTAGAAGAAGGCAACTCCCTGAGGTCCTGAGGAGAGCACCAGCAGCAAGGCAGAAGTTTCCAAGAGGTAACAGACATGATAACTTATGGGAGAGAGGGGAAGGTCACAAAGCGGGTGCAAAGAAAGGAGGAACAAACCAGTACAACAACTGTCAATTCATCTGTCAGTTCTGACCCACAAAAGGCTGGATATGGTGGGGGAGGAGTTCTCCTGCCTCTTCCCCCCCCCCCCGACAATTGTCCTGAAAGTAAATTCCAACACAGCAGACCTTTTCTCTTCCTTTTCTTTTTGGTGTGGCAGTGGCACTGGCCTTTGGCAGCCTGTTGGACTCTATGAAACAAGTAGGGAACCTGTAGCATTACAGAGGTCATTTGTACCACAACTCCTGTCATCCCTGATCACTGGTTTTGCAAGCTGAGATTGAGGGCAATCAGGGGCCCAACACCCTCTGAAGAACTACAGATTCTGAGCTACCCCAAATATCTTTCCTCAAGTAGTACCCTCTGGCCTAGCACCCACATGGCTGGTATTTTGCCCTCCCCCCGTCATTTATGAGTGTCAGCCAACACACCTGGATTTCTGCTGGATTTCATTTAATCTCCTGTCACTGCTATTATTCTTTCAATATAATTGTACTTTATTGTTTTAATATTGTTCTATTCTATGGAATTGTAATGAAGCATGAGATGTAAATAAAATGTCCTTTATTCTGTTGTTTCCTTATACAGTGGTTCACTATATACAGACCCAGCATCAGGATTTAGACCCACAACACCCACACCAAATACTACTACAGATGTTTCCTCTCCTGCCCTTTCCTTTGTTATCACCATGGCAGCCATAGCTTCCTCCGCTTGTCCATTCTCGTCTCCCTCTTTCTTTCCCAACATGTGGCTATACGCACAGTACAAGCATTTGCCATGGCTTACTCCTTCTGCTTTCCTTTCCACCCTGTGTCACAGAGGAGTCGCTGCCGCCTGCCGCGCATGGCACCAGGTCAGGCCAGAAGCAGTGTGAGAACCCTGACAATGGGCGGCGGCAGCTTGTAGGCCTGGTGATGGGAAGGAAGGAGGAAATGGCAGATCCACCAAGGAAGAAGGCAAGAGGAGCTGCTTAAGTTCATCACATATAGAAAGTCAATGTAGGGGAGAGGGGAGAGCCCACTGCTGTTCCCCACCTGGACCCTACAGGATCTTGGATCCTGGTTGTTTCCTCTTACTAGAAATCCAGTGAAGCCTGACATTTTTCTCCTGAAGCAAGAAGATGGTGCCTCCTCCCTGGTCCATGTACAGAAGGTGACTGGAATGACACTCGACTCTAATACTAGCAGCAAAACACAATGATCTACATCTGAAGTCAGGATGTTAGCTTAGAGTGCGATGCAGACTATGTAATACATGTAGTTTTGTTCTCCATCATCTCACAGCTGCTCCCCTAAGGCAGCTGCCTCCTTCTGTCTAAGGACAGGGTGTTCTGATCTAGTAAACGGTATCACCAACACCAAATACTCAAGGAAGTTACAAATGCTGATGACTAGGGACTGAATGATGAATCAGAAAGGTCAGGTCCTGTTCAGAATACAGATTTGCCTCCAAGAGCCAGAGATGAAGAAACTACTTCAGTATTTATTCACAGATCTTTACCTCCCTTTTCACCCACAGAATTTCCTAAGTGACTTACCATAGATCAATTAAAAATGACAGTCCCTGACCATAAGCTGACAATGTAAGAGGTGCTGGAACATAAGATGAACCTAGTTGGACCCACCTGAACACCAGTCTAGTCTAGCAGCAGGTCAGACTGCCCCACTGTTATCCCCCAGCCAACCAGCTTTAAGAGTCATGTGGAAGTCACGCTGGAGGCATTCAAGAGAAAGCTGGGCAACCATCTGTCAGATCTGCTTTGATTTGGATTCATGCATTGAGCAGCAGGGGGCTGGACTTGATGGGCTTATAGGCCTCTTCCAACTCATTTATTCTGTGATTCTATGCTACCTCTGATCCTAGAGGTACCACATGACAACTAGATGACCAGCAGGCCTTAACAGCCTTATTTATTTTCAACAAGTTGGTCTAAGTCAGTTTTAAAGCTCTCTGACCTGATGGTCAAGGGCATCACCCAATTTCAAAACAAATGTCATCATTTAACTATGCATGTGGGAAGAAGTATATCATTTTGTCTGTCCTGAATCCACCACTGCTCAGCTTTCTTTGGAATATCAACTATTATGAAAGATAAACTTTTCTTTCTCCACTTCCTTCATACTTTCATAACTTTTCATGATGTTCCTGGTTACTTGCCTTAAAAAACAAACCAATCCTAAACCATCTCCAGTATTTTAACTGTTCTTCATAAGAGAATTCTTCTGCTGCCTTTTCGTTTTTACACTTTTCCCAAGCCTACAAGCTCTTCAAGATGTTGCCTACTATTGCATGCTGTTTCATACTGCTTCACTCCTTTTTTTTCTCCCTCTAGAGATGACTACATGCCAATTCTCATTGAACCCATGTCCAAATGTGATCATCTGCTACCATGTATTACTTTTACCACTTGCCATTCACTGAACCCGGATCTGTTCCCTCCTCTCATCTAATAGCTCTACTCCTTCCTAAGTATGCTGCACTGGTGCAGTGCCCAGACTGATACTGTGGTGACACAGTATTTTTAGAAATGATGATAATGATTTAATTCAATATCTGGGCAATATTACTGAAAACTAATATTACTGAAGACCTCACATGACTGAAAACCACAGCGAAGGCTACCACAGTTACCAGAGTTACCAACTCTCTTCTTTGCATGCAATATTCAAGATAAACACCAGTAAATTTTGAGAATTTCCAAACAAGGAAACAAGCAAAGAAACAAACAAAAAACCTAGAGAAATTAAAGCTGCATAGCTGGGGTGGGGTGGAGTGGGATAGACAACACAGCATAGCCATGGGCACCTTTTTGAGGACTGAAAATTAGGTCGCACATTTCAATATAAAAGAATGCTGTTTACTGGATTAACTAACCATATTGAACCCTTAAAATCTTTTTATCACAAAAGCAATGCCCTCTTATAAACAGGCATCAGATATTGGGGAAAAATGTTGTTTTTTTTTACATCAATTATCTACAAAAAAACAGATGCCATATGCCATGCTAGAAGCATTCCCATTTTCCCTTTTATTAGGCTCGTTCAGTTGTAAGATGGTGCCTACATTAATATTGATTTTAATAAAGATTGTTCATTTGCATTCGTAATATGCCATATGCTATATGCCTTGGTATATTTGATCAACTGATAGCCCCAGTATAAAACAGCTGATGTGCGTTTACTCCAGAAAAGAAGACTTAGGGCAAAAGCCTACAGACTCTATCTCTTGATGGCAGGTGAGTCTGAACCAAATAAATGATATGGGAAGAGTTACTTTTTTTGCATAGATGTTCCCAGAATTACGTTGGCTGGGGGAATCCGGGAGATGCAGATAAAAATTCTCTTCCAAGTTCTTATTTTAAAAAAGAAAAGAAAGGGGAAAAAAGGCTATGAACCCATTTATCATTTCACCCATCACCGCTGGCACAATTAGCTTTGGGGTGCTGATTTCTTTTCTTCTTCTTTGGGAAAAGCGTAGCACAAATCATTCTTCTTCCTTTTCCTTTCATCTGGTTTCCAAATATTTATTAATTCAAAAATTACTTGTTTAGGAAAAAAGAATTCAACTTCTCATCAAAAGACAGCCTCCTCTCTCTGGAACACTTCAAATCAGAGACAATGCAAGGTAGAGGATGGCTACCATCACACACTGTATCATTCAAAATTATGATAAAAAGCTTCCATCTGTGAAGAGGATTGTCTTCAATAGCTGATC